GTAGCTAGGGGAGGGGGATCCAAATTCGAAAGCCCCCCCCCCCCGAGGCCCTTACTTGAGGGTGACCCCCAAAGGAGTGTCCGAAATTTTTTTGTTATATTAAATAATGTCAAATGTCAAAATGCAGGGGCCCCTAAAAGGGCCAAGCCTCCCGGGCCCCCAAATCCCTAGCTACGCCACTGACCGAATCTTTCTTGGCACAATTATGCATTTTAAAAAGCCAAGGATTTCAACTGTCGGTTTCGGTTGCTGGGCAACGAAATTTACCGGAGGTGAAATCCCACATTAACGGGAGATTTGTGAACTCGTTTGTTGTTGGAGGTCTTAGCAGAACTGAAGGGCACGCTAGGCGGTCGTGTCCATGTCCATGTCCGTCGGTGATTCGGACGTTCGGAAAGGTCTCAAGTATAACAGAGCCGCCCACATTCTACTCGAATAAGTCGTGTTTATTTGCCTTCAGTTAAACTAGCTGAAATTAGTGTTATCAAAGTATCAGTGGCGTAACGGGGGGGGGGTTGTTCCGCACGGAGCGGGCCAATTTAAAGCTTTTTGCATGCCGAACAACTTCCAGGGGAAAGAACTCGAAAACTCCGCACCTAAATTTTAAAAAAAGAGCGCCACCCGCGGTTGGACACCCCCCTCCCCCTTTCTCCCCTCCCCCTTTCTCCCCTCCCCCTTTCTACCAGCCTCTTGCTATGACGCCTCCGCAAAGTATACCACGTCACTGCTCCTGTCATGCTCGGGTCTGTTTCGGGAATGATTGGAACTGATCGACGACGCGTGCCACTGCCGTGTTGCGCCCCCCTTTATTTGGACAACTTCCTAAATATTTATATGGTGTTTACTCATTTATTCTTGTCTTACTTTGTTGAGGGAGAGAACACTCGCAGACCAACTGAAGAATTTTTAGAGATGGTATTAAACCTGTCAGGGCATTGTCAGGGACACTCTATAATACATTGGGGCATTGTCAGAGACACTCTCTATGGCGGGCATTGTCAGAGACACTCTCTATTGAGGCATTGTCAAAGACACTCTCTATGGCGGGCATTGTCAGAGACACTCTCTATTGGGGCATTGTCAGAGACACTCTCTATTGGGGCATTGTCTGAGACACTCTCTATGGCGGGCATTGTCAGAGACACTCTCTATTGGGGCATTGTCAGAGAAACTCTCTATTGGGGCATTGTCTGAGACACTCTCTATTCGGGCATTTTCAGAGACAATCTCTATTGGGGCATTGTCAGAGACACTCTCTATTGGGGCATTGTCAGAGACACTCTCTATTGGGGCATTGTCAGAGACACTCTCTATTGGGTCATTGTCAGAGATACTCTCTATTTGGGCATTGTCAGAGAAACTCTCTATTGGGGAATTGTTAGAGACACTTTCTTTTGGGGCATTGTCAGAGACACTCTCTATTGGTGCATTGTCAGAGACACTCTCTATTGCGGGCATTGTCAGAGACACTCTCTATTGAGTAATTTTCAGAGACCTTCTCCATTGGTCCATTATCGCAGACACCATCTATTGGGGCATTGTCAGAGATACTCTCTAAACCAAAAAATGAAAATTGAGAGATTTTTGACAACCATTGACAGGGGCCTGAGCGACAATCTCAATCAAGTTGATCCGACCCATGGACACTCGCAAACCAGTTAGAGATCACTGATGGACACTCGCAAACCAGTTAGAGATCACTGATGGACACTCGCAAACTAACTAGATGTGACACACCCGCAAACCAATGAGATCTAACTGATTATACACCCGCAAACCAATGAGACATGCTTTAGATCTTTCCAACAACCAAAAACAGACGGAAGACATGGTATCCTATTGACCAGAGGTCGTGACAACGCTTCTAGTGGCATCCTTGATTTTATTCACAACAATTGCGTTGTTCTCAATGAATTCTTCCATCAGATATAATCATTTGAAAGCTAATTTGTAGGCCTTTCATTTAAAAAAATACAAAAACATTCTGTTACAAAGGAATTACAATTTTTTTTTTTTTAAATTTTTGGTTAATTTCCCACCATACATCTCATTTGTTGATTCAGTAATGCCCCTATCATATGAAATAACATACCGGTATGGATGTACGTATGTTTCTTCATGTCCGACTTTTGGTGGAACCGCTTCCCACAGTATGGACACGGGTACGGCCTGGTGTCGCTGTGTATGAGCATATGTGTTGACAGGGTTGAGGACCGCTTGAACCTCTTACCACAATCTCGACACTGTGGAGGGAGGGGGGAAAAAATGCAACCACTGATTTAAACAAATTTGTGTAGACAGGTGTTGGGGACACTCAAGGGACTTATTTAAGGGACAATTTAAAAAGAACCTATTTAGGGGACACAATTAAGGAGGACAGTCCAGGGAGGACATTTATGGGTCACATTTAGGGAGCCGATTCACGGGACAAATTTAGATGGACACATTGGGATCGGGGGGAGGGGGGGGTGATTTGCTGATCTTGCCTCACTAATTTTTTTTTTTCTTATTAAATAGTTAAGATACTGAACATTAGCGTATACGTCATGCTACGGGTAATTATGACAAGTCTCAGAAAAGTTCAAACGGGTACCTGAAATGTCCTTTCCTTGGTAGAGATCGGGTCGTTGGCCCGGGCGCTCGAAGACAGATTTAGAGGTACGTTGTTGGCGCAGTCACTTCCGCTCAGGCACGACATCGGCGACGGAACCGGAAGTGAAGAGAGGCTGTCTAAACCAGACGGCAGCAGGCAAGGGTCGTGCGACGGGTTGATCTGAGGTAGTGGCGATGACGTCATGTTGCGCAGTGACGCGGATGACAGCCGCGTCAGCGGCGACGACGCCAGGTGCTGGTGGGGCGGCGATGGCGTCAGGTGCGAGAAGGGCCCGATGGGGCTGGACAAGGCCTCTGTCGGTGAGGGTGGCGTGATCGGGAGGGACATGGGGCGAAGCGACGGCCTGAGGTCGGGCAGCTGTCTCCTCAGCACGCCGTGGTAGGGTGGTCTGGTCACGCACCGCGAGCACTGGCACGGCAAGAAGTCCTCTTTGCGTTCGAATCGGGTGTTGTCGTAAAACGGAAGAGACTGGGGGGATAAAAGGCTACAGTTAAAAGTACGGCTGAGAAATATGGGACAAGTGGGGGTTGTTTGGTGGGTCAGAGTTATTTTGAAAAGGGGCTTAACCTTATATATATATTAATAATTTAATCTAGTGTTACCTGTAGGAGATATGGGAATGCATTAGATTTCATCATGGAGTAAGTTTGCGCATGCGCTGCAATGTCGTGATCTAACGTCAGCCATGACAGGAAGTCGCCCAGAAACTCGCGCAGGTACTGGCTGTGTTTGAACTGCATGGCCGCTGGGGTCATCAGGAAAGGCGGGGAAACTGTTGGGGAGAAAATATCAAAGACACGCCGTGAATTGTTGTAGTTGTTGTTGTTGTTGAGGTTGTTGAGATTTTCTTACACTGAAAGGAAAATGAGCTCACCCGATTAGAATAGTCTAGCTGTCTTCATTTAAATGACCTCTTCCCTCACCCCCCTCCCCCCCAAACAACCCAAAATCAATAAAATGGAAAAAAATCGTTCACACTTTTACTGCCACACGTTGAGGTGACACGGACGGAGGTCATCTGCCAAGGGCGCTTGGATCGTCCAAGTGCTCCCCTGTCCTTGGCTCATAAAACGTTGGATATACTTAAACACGCAAAGACTCGCAGACAACCAAACTCCACGGCTGCAGCAGGTGCTTGGCATATTACAGAACAGCTCTACCATTTCACCCCGAGTACCAACGCTATCATCTGTAATTTTATTAATCGCTATAATAAAAGCAATTTTTTTTCATATGCTAACTGGGTGTGGCTGGGCCGAGTAATGAGTGCGTCCTTTGATGGTAAGAACGAATGGCCATTCTCTCAGACTATTCAGGGTGAGAAGCCAACAAGTAAGATTATAGCGAGAGTGTGAGACATTAAAATTGTTGTTTGAGATGGCAGCGAGAGTGTGAATATCTTAGAGCAGGCAAGATGGTAAGGAGAGTAGGAGAACTTGAAAGTGTTGTTTGAGTTGGTGGCGAGGAGTATGATACATTAAGTAAGTCAAGATGGTAGCGAGAGTTTGATACATTAAATATGTCAAGATGGTAGCGAGAGTAGGAGAAATTCAAACGAAGGAGATGGTGGCGAGAGTATGATTCATTAAGTAATTCAAGATGTTAGCGAGAGTTTGATACATTAAATATGTCAAGATGGTAGCGAGAGTAGGAGAAATTCAAACGAAGGAGATGGTGGCGAGAGTATGATTCATTAAGTAATTCAAGTTGGTAGCGAGAGTTTGATACATTAAATATGTCAAGATGGTAGCGAGAGTAGGAGAAATTCAAACGAAGGAGATGGTGGCGAAAGTATATAAAAGTTGCTCTAGTTCGAGTGATCACTATTTCTTTGGTCGTTTTAATGTCTCCCCCCCCCCCAGCCCTAATGACGTCTCTTGATCCTGAACATGTAACATGAATGTTGAACGCTTACTGTACACTTATTGTACAACCACTGTACACTTACTGTACAATTACTGTACACGTTAAATTAGAGTTGTTGGTTCGTTATTCTTTTCGTCTTTAACTGCGTCTCATGTAATTTGAAACCCACATTTTTTTTTTAATTTTGGGGTGGGGGGAGNAAGAAGCTCTCCACGGCAAATGTCTCAGGGATCCAAGGCCCTCAACTCAGATTTCTGCCTTATTCACTCTCGGTAACTCCTGTTCACTAAAGGCTGCTGTTGACACAAAGAAGCTCTCCACGGCAAATGTCTCAGGGATCCAAGGCCCTCAACTCAGATTTCTGCCTTATTCACTCTCGGTAACTCCTGTTCACTAAAGGCTGCTGTTGACACAAAGAAGCTCTCCACGGCAAATGTCTCAGGGATCCAAGGCCCTCAACTCAGATTTCTGCCTTGTTCACTCTCGGTAACTCCTGTTCACTAAAGGCTGCTGTTGACACAAAGAAGCTCTCCACGGCAAATGTCTCAGGGATCCAAGGCCCTCAACTCAGATTTCTGCCTTGTTCACTCTCGGTAACTCCTGTTCACTAAAGGCTGCTGTTGACACAAAGAAGCTCTCCACGGCAAATGTCTCAGGGATCCAAGGCCCTCAACTCAGATTTCTGCCTTGTTCACTCTCGGTAACTCCTGTTCACTAAAGGCTGCTGTTGACACAAAGAAGCTCTCCACGGCAAATGTCTCAGGGATCCAAGGCCCTCAACTCAGATTTCTGCCTTGTTCACTCTCGGTAACTCCTGTTCACTAAAGGCTGGTGTTGACACAAAGAAGCTCTCCACGGCAAATGTCTCAGGGATCCAAGGCCCTCAACTCAGATTTTCTGCCTTATTCACTCTCGGTACCTCCTGTTCACTAAAGGCTGGTGTTGACACAAAGAAGCTCTCCACGGCAAATGTCTCAGGGATCCAAGGCCCTCAACTCAGATTTCGGCCTTATTCACTCTCGGTAACTCCTGTTCACTAAAGGCTGGTGTTGACACAAAGAAGCTCTCCACGGCAAATGTCTCAGGGATCCAAGGCCCTCAACTCAGATTTCGGCCTTATTCACTCTCGGTAACTCCTGTTCATGCCAGTATTTTTTTTATTATTTTTTTAATTAATTTATTATTTTTATTTTTATATGAGTTGCTTTTTATGATCTCCCATCCGCTTACCCGCTGTTCCCTCAATCGTTCACCCACCCGCCGTTCTTAAATCTGATGCTACTTTCATTTAATCCCCCCCCCCCCCAAACGTCCGTTGCCCCAGCCATGCTATGATAATTTCAGTGAGACCGGTCTTTGAGCCACTAATCTTTGAGCCAGTAATCTTTGAGCTGCTAATCTTTGACCACGCATACGATTCCCCCCCCCCCCTCG